CTAACGGGAGAATACACTCCCGTTGAAGAGCAGCCAGCACTGTAGCGGTCGGTAAATGCTGAAACACATTAATAAACAATGAACCACGGCACTCTGGAGAAAAGTATAAGGTTGGAGAAGTCGTTATTTAATTTAATCTGGCTTCGTATGATTAAAAGCAACACGATCGTCGACCCGACGCAGTCCCCCCCCCGTTGTTGTGGGAGAAAATCTCTCGGCAGCTCTGGGCAGTGTGAACAGAGCGGGAGCTGAAAAGGGAAACGGGAGCTGAACCAGAAAAGCTCTCGCTAGGAGCTAGAAAGGGAAAAGCGCTGGTGTGAAAGTCAGAGGGGGGTAGTTACCCATTTACATGTCAAAAAGCAACATACAGTAGGCGGGTGGGGGATGGTGAACGTTTACATTTCTCTACAGCAGTGGTTCCCAAACTTTTTGTGCCCAAGGCACACCAAAGGACAAGTAAAAATCTCAAGGCACACCTATTGTGCGAAATAGCCCTTATAACACGTGTTATCACTCATATCATGTAAAATATCTGTAAATGTGCATAATTATTTACTAATGCCAAATAAAATGTATAGATAGAACAATCAGTGGTTCAAGTTAGTATATTCCTCAGTGTAACATATCCACTAGTTGCAAAGCTTAAACATTTTTATATATTTTTTTATTTTAAGGGAAAGGATGTTTTCACTACTCAGTTTGTCAACTATGTTACGGACAAACTTGATGTCATTACAATCATTTGATTAAGTCCTGCACTTCAAGTAAAATCAAATTTGAAAGGCTCTTGAGTCTATTCTACCATATATCCAAAGATTTTTTAAAGTTTAAAAAATAATTGTATTAAAGTTTTGTTTTTTCATGTGATATGTTCAGCACTGTCATTAAGTTTAGGGATATTTTGTATTATAAAACTACCATACAGGTCATTTTGATAGTTTTAAGAGATGTCATGTAAAACTCCAACCTGTGTAGATATACATTATACTATAAAGGATATCAGAAGCACTATTTTAGATATTTTAAATTTGAAAAAATGAGGTGCAACATAGTTGACAATGAAAGTCAAACATTTGACGCAAATAACATAGTTGACTGGACACATTATTAACCATCAGCACTATGTTAATTTCAAGGCAGAAGTGCAAAATTCCATTGATAATGATGTGTAATGACGTCTACATGTCGTACAAATTGTCAACTAGGTTACCTGTCAACTAAGTTACTACAGTTATTACAGTACTGGGTAACTCAGTTGACAGGTAACCTAGTTGACAATTTCCCTATTTTGACCCATCATTTCAATGGTAGGCCTTGCCTGGATGACCACATGTCATTTTCTTGAACAGGTTAACATCACATTTGCACATATAATTGAATTAAAATCATTAAACAATTGTAAACCATAACAATGTACGTAACATTGTTGATTGTCAATGAGTATATTAATTGACCATGTGCTATTATACATAAAATATTGTAAAAATGTAGAGGACAATCACCACAGTGTGTTCAAAATGTCTGCCAAAGAGGAACATGGCATCATGTGATGCTGGTGACATGGTATTGGGACAAACAATTTTTGAGTTAAAGGGGGAAGTTCTGTTAGTAACATAGTTGACAGAACTTTTGCGGACATTCATATATTAAGATATTTAAATTATTTAAAGGGGGAAATCAATTAAAAATATGTTATTATTCTTTAGTATTTAGACTTTTGAAATAAATGAATCATTTTTTAAATTTACTTTAATGGTTTTTATTCATTATTTTGAAACCAAGACACCCTCAACTGAAAAACGGACATAGCAAAAACTGACAATTTAAGAACATCATGACACATTTCAAGCTAAATAAAGCATAGGATGCACATAATGTTTGTGTGATATTATAACATGCTTTCCAATAATAGGCAAAATATGATATTTTTGAAGAAAATAGTTAGAATAATTATAATTATCATCAATGGACATCAATGGACATGGAATGTACCCTAAATTGTAGAATCACTCAGCAGTTACATACACCAAACCTTCCAGTTATATTCCTATCAATATTATGAAGGCTTTTACAGAAGGGTTTGGTCATATATAATTCATAGCCTGAATTATATAACATTTTATACCTAAAAACATGGTGAAAATTGATATTTTAGGGCTGTTGACAGTATTTTCTGATTTATGGAGTGATACAAAGAGATATCCAAAATCCCTTCTGTAAAAGCCTTAGATACTAATATGACTACAAAATGAAACAATAATTTTGATCCTGGCTTTATCCAAAGTTCAGATTTCGGTTCCTGAAATGTGTTAAAATATGCGCATATTTCATGAGATAATGGTTCATTTGGATATTTAAACATGCTATTTCAGAAAACTTGTAATACAAAAAACAATTGCCTTATTGTAAGTAATTAACTGGAGAAATATTTAGCTGATATCTTTAAGTTAAAAATACCCTATTCACCTGGGGTGTCTCGCCTTAATTAGATGTTTGATAAGTGCAGATCACATAGTAAAACACGTACACAGATACATTATTTTGTATTTTTATTAAATTCGACAATGTCAATTTCACTTTCCACTATGTCCACCGTTGTTTTTCACAACCAATGGCAGAACTTTATTGAGGCCTGTAATTAGTCAACTACAGGTCTCTTGAGTCAGTCTTTTTCTTCCAAAAAGCTTGTGACAAGATGTTATTGCTCTTGGGGCATTAAAAACAAGATTTTAACTTTAGTTTTTTATATAATATCTGCATTTTCTATTGTGAAAAACTAAGTCTTAGTTATTTAATATATAGCGCCATCTCCTGGTTAAACCCTGAAATTGGAGAATAGTGGGAGGGCCTAACATTCCTGAATACTGGTCTTTGGCAGGCAACTGGCTGGCAACTGGCTGGCAGTCGGCAGGAAGCTGTATGCTGGGGTCCAAAATAAGAGGCTCCATCTGTACTGTACACACAAGATTTTATAAACACAAGACAAGTGTGCAAAGTATATATTATATTTTTATATGAAAAGATCAAATAGATTTTAGATGCAGGACTTTTACTTAGTGTTTTTTTGGGTGATTCTACTTTGACTTATGTAAACAAATCGGAGTACTTCTTCCACCTCTGAATGCAGTAACGCTTTGTGAACTCAGATGATTTTAGTTTTGCTTCATGGCAGAAATTAAGACGTAATGTTCTGCTTTTGATGGAGCTTATGTACCAAAGAACAAGAAGTCAGAGAGTTGTCAAACATCTCCTGAATCTCATCATTTGTAGAAATCCGCCGTCAGATATTCCATCACTTCATTTCTTTGTTTCCTCCTGTCTGCATGCACCTCCTGTTACAGCCCTGTGTGTGTGTGTGTGTGTGTGTGTGTGTGTGTGTGTGTGTGTGTGTGTGTGTGTGTGTGTGTGTGTGTGTGTGGTGTGTGTGTGTGTGTGTGTGTGTGTGTGTGTGTGTGTGTGTGTGTGTGTGAACGTGTGTGTGTGTGTGTAATGTGAACATGCGTGTGTGTGTGTAATGTGAACGTGTGTGTGTGTGTGTGTGTGTTTCCTCCTGTCTGCATGCGCCTCCTGATACTGCCCTGTGTGTGTGTGTGTGTGTGTGTGTGTGTGTGTGTGTGTGTGTGTGTGTGTGTGTGTGTGTGTGTGTGTGTGTGTGTGTGTGTGTGTGTGTGTGTGAGCATGCATCATCACATTACTGCAGTGTGTGTTGTTTAATCCTCTCCTTTGAAACTAAGAAAACAGCACACACTGTTCAGATCGTTTACAGGAGGACAGGAGTTTGAATGTGTTTTTATTTTATTACCTTAGTTTTTTGTTATTTTAAAGATTGCACATTTGTTATTTGGAGAACATAATCATTACTTCTCAGTCAAAATAAATCAAAGCGATCCTCTCTGTCCTCCTGTATCGTTCATTGTTGTCTCATTACAAAGTGAACAAATCAAACAAACTAACATGTTAATGAATGATGCTCAGAAAGGCTGTGGTCGCTCATCAGTTCTGTCAAATCCTAAATTGATTATCTAATTATCTCCGTAACAGATGTACGGGCCTGTTGGCTAACTCACTTATAATGTGGGTGTTTTTCCTTTGAGCTGAAATTAAACAAATGTTATTTTATAATATAAGAACACAGCGGTTCCCAACGGACCAGACGTATAAGAGCATGGGGGGATTCTGCTGGAACTAAAAGCGTTTTCTTGCATGACATTTTGAGAGAATATGAAGTGAATGTGTGCAGATGCAGCAGCAGAATGACTTGTAATGCTTAAACTCTAAACTACACGTGTTCCTGATTCAGTTTCTTCAGTAAGATTTCTCACACTGGAGTTGCAGTAATGTTTAAATAAAAAATAATGTTTAAAATTCAGTTTGAAAGCAGTGGATGTCAGTGTGTGGGTGCATATAGGTGAGAGGAGGGGATATATTACACCTCTCCTTTGAATATGTAACCTTCAGAGGAGAGGTGTAATCAGATTGTAATCTTCTGAAGCTGAAGCGAGGAGGTCCGACACACATTTTAAAAAGATTACGCATCGAATTGCTGTTTTGTTCAACCTAAAAATATATATGTATAAGTAAATACACTCCAGTTGACTTTCCAGAACGAAAATCAGTATCCAAAATCTTAATAATACTAATAAAAATACTTTAAACTATAACTCACTATATATATATTTTAAATATTCTCATCACAAATGTTAAAGCCCAACATAATGCAAGAGAAAAATATGTCTCTGAAACACAACGCTATTCCTGACTGTGTCCAACCTTGATCATGTGACATTTGAAATGTTAATAGTTAACTGTGAGCTAAAATAATTGAAATCTTGTTCAAACTAAACTATAATTTGTCATTTTGATATAATAAGAAGATTAATGAATAACGACCTCTAGATGACCACAACACGATGACCCACCACAGCCGCTCTGGGCTCTTTTTCATGTCATTGTTGTCGTGTATTTGTTATTTACCTCTAACGTTGGCTCGCTGATTTCAGAGGCTGGTCCTGATGAACATGCCTGTGGACGAGGACATGTCGGTCCACTTCACCTCCACCCTGATGGCCCTCATCCGCACCGCGCTGGAGGTCAAGATCGCCCGAGGTGAGGGGGGAAATATGTTGGGAAAATAGTGAATGTCCTCTTCTAACATGAGAGTAACATGATAACAAAGGTATCCCAACTGTAGCTGTGTACATGACAGGATGTATGATTACCTAGAAGAGCATCAGGACTGTTTGAGGCATATGATAGCTATGTGATTAACATGATGATTCAGCCTCTATGGAGATAGACATATGACAAGCATGCTCATTTCTGACGTGGAGCTAATCTGAAGTAAACATTGAATACTGCTTTCTATTCCTCCATCTTGTGACTGTGTAACTCCCTCTCTTGGATATCAGCATGTGAAGGACACTGTTCAGGAACTAGTTGATGCTCTGTATGTGATGACTCCTTCCATTCTGGAGAGGATCACAAATACATGGATCCTGAGGTTGAAGCTCAAGCCGGGGACCAGGGATTATTAACATTTTGAAGTATTCAGAAAAAGACAGAATTTTTAAATGTTTCAGAAAAATTCAGAATTTTGAGGGAAAAGTCAGAATTTTGAGAGAACATTTTTAAAAAATAGATTTTTGAGAAAAATTCAGATTTTTGAGAAAAAGTCCGAATTTTTAGATTTTTGAGAAAAAGTCAGAAGTTTTTGAAAAAGTCAGAATTTTGAGAAAAATACCAACAAATTCTCTTTTTTTGTTTTGACTACTTCCATTCCTGAGAGGATAATCAATACATGGCTAATCTGAAGTAAACATTGAATACTGCTTTCTATTCCTCCATCTCGTGACTGTGTAACTCCCTCTCTTGGATATCAGCATGTCTTTTCTAGAACTGGAGAATAATATTCTTTAAGAGGCGAAACCTCTAGGTTTTACACTAAGTGGCAACCCTTCTTAACCTTCTTCAATTCTCCCTAATGTTTGTCTACTGATTAATGAACCCCCCCCCCTTTCCTCTTTATTATATATTTATTTTTTGTCTTTGTATTGTTTTATTATTATTATTTATTATTTTTATCTTGTATTTATTTATTATTTATTTTTGTGTTGTCCCGTTAGTCTGTACAACACTCTCTTACATGTTGGCTACATGGTCTGTTTTGGTTGTAAATGTGGTTTAAATATTGTACGCCTTCAAGTGAAGATCATCTGTGTATGGATTCATTTGATGTGCAATAGTAGAGACTAAGCTGAACACTAGTAGCTTTGAACTGTTCAATCTAATCTATCAATGTACCAAATGTATTTTCTATGTGTCTTCAATATAAATATGAATGTGTAGGCGAATAAAGAAATGTGTTGTTTAATGTTCAGGAGGGGAGGACAGGAACCAGATGGACCTGGACCTGCAGAAGGAGATCGGGGTGATCTGGCCTCACCTCTCTCAGAAGACTCTGGACGTCCTGGTTCCCATTCACAAAGGTGACGTCAAAACACACAACCATAAGTTTCGCTTCACCTTCCAACCTTGGTCATGAAGAATATATGTCTCTCTGTTGTAAATAATAATCATAATAATAATACATTTCATTTATATAGCATACTTAAAAAATAACGTCATCTCAGTTGCAAACAGATGATGGATGTTCTTTCAAAAGTTCAGGTGTTTAACAGTCTGATGGCCTGAGGGACGAGACTGTCCCTGAGTCTGGTTTTGAACTAAGCCGTGTAATAAGATGTGATAACGCACTCTTGAAGTCTGTTCTGATGCTCTCTTTCTCTCTTTCTCTCTCTCTCCAGCCAGTGATATGACCATCGGGAAGATCTACGCTGCCATGATGATTATGGATTACTACAAGCAGAGCAAAGCCAAGAAGCTCCGGCAGCAGCTGGAGGAACAGGTGCAACAAACACTGACAAGTTTTATTTGAGTATTTACTCTTTATTTTGATTTAAACATTGCAATTTCTTATTTTCTTTGTAATATATTTTTTATTGACACTTTTTTTTTTCAAGACATAGTAATTGTACATCTTAAGTTTGTCTGTCCGAAATGCGTTTTTCTTTTTTTAACACAAAGATAAAATAAAAACAGTAAAAAATACGAACATTAGGGAGTGATCAGGACTTCACGGTAAAATCATACGTTTGTAAAAATTAAAATAAAATCTGGCCTATGAGGTTTTACGAAATCAGTCCACTTCACAAGTTTTATTTACATAATTATTCTCTTTTCCCCCTTAAATGTTGAATTGTTTACCTGTTTTGTAGGAAGGTTTATTTGGGCTTTTGGGTTCCACAGTTGATGAGGTTGCTCTAACATTGCTAAGTGAAGCGATGTGGTTTCAACAACAACAAAATCCTTGTTGCAAATGTGTCACTTCATCTGAGAGAATCTCGTTTGTTTCTCGTAAAGTTACGACTTCTTTATCCAATGAATATGGAGGATAATCTCCTTGAAATGTCTGATTTACCTTCTAGGAAATGCACAATTTAAAGATCAGAAAACATCCTTTTTCTTTCTTGTTAGTTTACAACTTTAATCTCAAAAGAATATCCACGTGTTTTTTCTTCTCGTAAATAAACAACATTTATTTTCGAGAATATATCTTTTATCTTTGAAATTCTGGGAACCTTTCTCTGAACATTTTGGCAAAGTTTTTTTTTCATTGATTCGGAGACGTGTGGCGCAGTGGGTTGTGCGTAGGTGTTGGGATCAGGGGGTCACAGGTTCAAACCCCACTGCAGTCAGCATGTCGTTGTGTCCCTGAGACACTTCACCCCAAATTGCTCCTGTGGGGATTGTCCACAGTATTGTAAGTCGCTTTGGATAAAATAATAATCTAATCATTTGACCTATAATGGCCTTAATATATGATATATGTACAAAATATATGTTTAAATTAAATGAAGCCTGATAAAGCCAGTCAGTTTTATATGAAGTGTTTAAAGTTGTGTATTGTCCCCTCTTTAATCCCCTGTGTTTCCTCCCTGTAGAAACACGCCCCCATGTTCCAGAGAATGGACGCCTCCTCTCTTCCTCAGGAGATCCTATGCAACGCTAAATCTCTTTCATTCCTCGGGCACAGCGCCGGATCCGCTCTGTAAATATCAGCTTTCATTCTCCTCAGTTATTTATATTTGATAAGCTCTATGGATGTATACTGGTAGGCAGGCTTGAGGAGTAACAGATGACATGTAACGGGATTACATAATCAGGGTACCCAAAAAGGTAACTGTATTCCCTTACAGTTACTTTTCCAAATATTGTTGATTACTCGCAGGATTACAGTGTGAGTAAAACCTAAAAAGACAAGTCTGTGTTTTAAAGGATCAAAGTCTCACTTTTTACACAAATCTGACATTTTTTTTAGCTGTTCTAGGCTAATACTTTTTCAATCAGGAGAGACGGTTTTGATGGAAGAACACCTATTTATTGCCAGGAATACACAAATGAATGTAATGGAGTTTTGGCGATTAGGCCCCGTTGTGCAGGAGTATCATTCGGGAGGGGAGAACCGATCCGATGAAACCCCCCCCCCCCCCGGGGTCTAGACCCTGGTGGTGGTGAATGGATAGTTGGGTTCGGTCTGAAGGGGAGGGGCTTAGCTTGACCCTGGTGGTGGTGAATGGATAGTTGGGGTCGGTCTGAAGGGGAGGGGCTTAGCTTGACCCTGGATTCAGAGGGACAGGAGGTGAAAAGGGGTGGAGGAGGGCTGCGTCGAGTCACCTGAAATGACAGCTGACAGAGGGGAGAGCAGATTTAAAAGGTTTAGCAGAGCGCTGTGATAGGCTTGTGAGAATAGAGCAAAGTGATTGGTTAAGCTTGGGAGTGACGCCCCCGATCACTTATTGAGAGGAGCTCTGTAGTAGTGACATAGACATATTAATGAAGGAAAAGACGGTCTTCCTGGTTGAACTTGCGCTGAGCTTCATAAGTCTGAGTCTGCTTTATGGAATCTTTTTTGTTTTTACACGTGGCCCTAACCATCTTCTTTTAAAAATACTCAGAATCCAGATTTTTTTCAAAAATCAAAAATAAATTGTTTTATTTCTGAATTTTTACATATTTCTAACTTCTTCTTCAAATCTCACTTTTTTACAAAAATTGAAAAAAAATCTCACTTTAGTCCAAAATCTCACTTTTTTTCAAATTCCTGACTTTTTATGAAAAAATACAATTTTCTGAACAAATTTGGACTTTTTATAAAAAATGCAATTCATTTTTTGGATTTATTTTCCAAAATCTGACTTTTTACAAAAAAAATCTGACTTTATTTAAAAAAAAAATGCAGGCTTTAAAAATGCAGACTTTTTGACCAAAGATTCTGAGTGTATCAGCTGTTCTCTCTTCTCTGTGAGCTGTGCTGTTCTGTAGGCTAATACTAAGTGTGAATCTACATGCCTCTATCTAAGTACTGGGCACACAGTATAAGGAGTCCAGTACTGCGTCACGTGCTTTCAAATGTAAAAATTAACCAGTTACTACGAATGTTAAATAAATAAATAGCAGAGTAAAAGTACACTATTTAGCTTTTCCCTTTACAATGTAGTGAGGCAGGTGTACAAAGTTGCATAGAATAGAAAATACTCAAGTAAAGTCCTCAAACTTGTACTTAAGTAAAGTTCTGAAGTAAATGTACTTGTATTTAAATACTTTTAGGACACATCTGACTGGGGTCAAAACATATCCTCAGCCACGTACTTAGTTACTCTCCAACACTGCTGTACAGTAGGTGATCAATTATACAGCAATGTTCAGATCAATTACTTATTTATTGTTTAAATAAAGGTGAATGTATTATTGTATTAAGATCACTCTATAAGCCTCATTATGTTACATAGTTTATCTGTTCATTATGGCTGTCTTTTCACACTAAAATGGTCTTGACGTCCTCTACAGTGGACCTACTGTAACATTAAAAATGTAATGAAATGAAAAAAAGTCTAAATTGCAAGATGTTTTTTAACCCTAAACACGTAGGAGGGTTCCCAGGAGGATATACAGTATTAAGAGATAGGAATTAACTCAAGAAATGACTCACAGTAGGAAAATAACCTTTTGTTTTCTGTGGATTTGATCACTCAGTTCCTTTATCACCATGAACACTAATTGATGTTCTGTAATTGAGTTTCTGTGTGTGTGTTCCTGCAGAACCAGAGGAGGTTTCGTGGCTCTCAGCCCCGTCCCTCCTCAGGAAATGTTCCTGCAGCCGCTGTCTCGCTCCAGGGAGGAAAAGGCGGAGGAAGAGGAGGGAGATTATCGATCTCCATATCACCAATATCACCGTCACCTACACACTCTGGTAACCATCATCTACAAACACCATCCCCTACACACACCATCACCTACACACACCATCACCTACACACACCATCCCCTACACACTGGTAACCATCATCTACACACACCATCACCTACACACACACATCCCCTACACACACCATCACCTACACACTCTGGTAACCATCATCTACACACACACCATCACCTACACACACCATCACCTACACACACCATCACCTACACACACCATCCCCTACACACACCATCACCTACACACACCATCACCTACACACACCATCACCTACACACACCATCACCTACACACTCTGGTAACCATCATCTACACACACCATCATCTACACACTCTGGTAACCATCATCTACACACACCATCCCCTACACACACCATCACCTACACACACCATCCCCTACACACACCATCACCTACACACAACCATCATCTACACACTCTGGGTAACCATCATCTACACACACCATCCCCTACACACACCATCACCTACACACACCATCACCTACACACACCATCACCTACACACTCTGGTAACCATCATCTACACACACCATCCCCTACACACACCATCACCTACACACACCATCACCTACACACACCATCCCCTACACACACCATCCCCTACACACACCATCACCTACACACACCATCCCCTACACACACCATCACCTACACACACCATCCCCTACACACACCATCACCTACCCACACACCATCCCCTACACACACCATCACCTACACACACCATCACCTACACACACCATCCCCTACACACCCCACCCCCTACCCCCACACCATCACTACACACACCATCACCATCACACTCTGGTAACCATCATCTACACACACCATCACCTACACACACCATCACCTACACACACCATCACCTACACACACCATCACCATCACACTCTGGTAACCATCACCTACACACACCATCACCTACACACACCATCCCCTACAACACCACACCTACACACACCATCCCCTACACACACCATCCCCTACACACACCATCACCTACACACACCATCACCATCACACTCTGGTAACCATCATCTACACACACCATCACCTACACACACCATCACCCTACACACACCATCACCTACACACACCATCACCATCACACTCTGGTAACCATCATCTACACACACCATCATCTACACACACCATCACCTACACACACCATCCCCTACACACACCATCACCTACACACACCATCCCCTACACACACCATCCCCTACACACACCATCACCATCACCTACACACACCATCACCATCACACTCTGGTAACCATCATCTACACACACCATCACCTACACACACTGGTAACCATTAATTCAATTGGTTTTAAGTCATTTTAAGAACTTTGATTTTCTAAGGAATTTGACTTTTTCTAAGAATTTTGACTTTTTTAAGAATTTTGACATTTTCTAAAGAATTTTGACTTTTCTCAGGATTTAGACTTTTTCTCAGAAATTTGACTTTTTCTAATAATCTTTGACTTTTTTTCAAAATGTTTATTTTTCCTCAGAAATGTGACATTTCTCAGTATTTTTCTGAGAATGTTAATTACCACAAAACTGTGCAATCCATGTGTGAATTGTTGGATTTGACTCTTGAGATGAGAATCACATGATGAATACCCTCTCTTCTCTCGTGTGTGTTTAAGGTGCCGGATGTGATGGAGTATAACCAGGTGATGCATCATCATCATCATCATCATCTTCACGACTCAGCTGTTATTAAATCCCCTCAGCGCTGCGCCTCCATCAGAGCGTCCTCCATGCCCCGGCTGGCTGTCGATCTTCCGGTAATAAAGAGTCATAACCTTTATCAAACACACTTTCATATCTGCTGCTGTTAGATATTATCAATATATTATACAGTAAACAACATCGCGTTTAAATATTTATATATTCTGATTTACTTTCAGGTCATAAGTGTATTGTATGTTTCGCTATTGGAGGAGACTTTTCATGTTCATTGTCAAAACTAGGCATTACATCTTTTAAATCTCTGAAGTGCTTTAATAGCATTTATTTATTTTTATTTCACTTTTTCTGAAGAGTTTCTTCTGCACATTTCGTGATCTTCAATACATACTCCTGTGTGTGTTTGATATTGAGAGAGGTGTAAATATACATCTACAGTGACCTAAGTAGTCCCTCCTCTGTTTGTGTAGGCCAGCAGAGGTGGGAAGTAGTGGAGAACAAATATTTTGTTACTGTACATAAGTACATTTTTCTGGTATCAGTACTTTACTCCACTATACCTGTACTTTCTACTTCTTACATGTTGAACCCAAATACCTGTACTTTCTACTTCTTACATGTTGAACCCAAATACCTGTACTTTCTACTTCTTACATGTTGAACCCAAATACCTGTACTTTCTACTTCTTACATGTTGAACCCAAATACCTGTACTTTCTACTTCTTACATGTTGAACACAAATACCTGTACTTTCTACTTCTTACATGTTGAACCCAAATACCTGTACTTTCTACTTCTTACATGTTGAACCCAAATACCTGTACTTTCTACTTCTTACATGTTGAACACAAATACCTGTACTTTCTACTTCTTACATGTTGAACACAAATACCTGTACTTTCTACTTCTTACATGTTGAACCCAAATACCTGTACTTTCTACTTCTTACATGTTGAACCCAAATACCTGTACTTTCTACTTCTTACATGTTGAACACAAATACCTGTACTTTCTACTTCTTACATGTTGAACACTAATACCTGTACTTTCTACTTCTTACATGTTGAACACAAATACCTGTACTTTCTACTTCTTACATGTTGAACCCAAATACCTGTACTTTCTACTTCTTACATTTTCCAAACAGGCTGGTTCCTTTAGTTTGAATGTGTGTTTGGTGGCGTGATCATTATTATTTAGAGTCATTGCGTGCCTATTGATTTGAACACGATCCGTGTATCCATCATTTCCTGGTCTTCTCTAAAGAAGAGGGACCAATGAAAACGTTGTCATGTTGCCGTTGTTCAGCATGGAAACATTCATTAGCTAACAATGACATTATTGTTCTATTAATATAAAGGGAGGTCAGGTACTCTTTAAAACAGCTGCTAGTTATGGGTACTTTTTACTGAAGTACATTTCAAAGCCTCTTTACTTTGACTTGAGTAAAGAAGTTTAGTCAGTACTTCTACTTCTTTTACCAGAGTATTTTTAAACACAAGTATCTGTACTTCTACTTGAGTAAAGGATGTGTGACCCCATCTCTGTAGGCTGGGATGTCTGCAGACAGTAAGCTGATGAAGCGCTCCTTCTCCACCATCGGGGATCAGTGTGTGAACGGCCTCTGGCAGGAGCAGCACTCTCTGGAGAGAATCAGTCCGGACGGCGAGTACCGACCACGACAGAGGAGCTACAGAGGTCAGTGAACGCACCACAACTCCTTTAGTCACATACATATAAAGTGCTGCAAGAATGAGTCCTAAAACCTGGAAATGAGGCAGCGTTTTGGCACTTCCTGTTCCCTCCTGAATGGTTTTCTGAATGTGTTTTTATCCTAAAATAAGGTCTGTGGTTAACACAAGCTGAAAAGATTTTAACGCTTTGTTCTGCGACATGAAATATGTCAGTAAATAAATAAAAAACAAGTGTCTAAATGAGACGACTAAACGTCATCACACCCAATATTAGCCACCTTTAGCTTAGCGGTGGTGACATGAAGTCATGTGACCGTGCTGTAGTTCCTTTATAGCCCAACATTAGCCACCTTTAGCTTAGCGGTGGTGATGCGAAGTCATGTGACCGTGCTGTAGTTCCTTTATAGCCCAACATTAGCCGCCTTTAGCTTAGCGGTGGTGATGCGAAGTCATGTGACCGTGCTGTAGTTCCTTTATAGCCTAACATTAGCCACCTTTAGATTAGCGGTGGTGACGTGAAGTCATGTGACCTTTATATCCTATATTTAGCATTTTACTCCAAAATCATAAAGTGGTGTTAATATGTGGATATTATCCTGCTGAACTAAACGTGTAAGTATCATAAACGTTTGTTTGCCACAGATCTGAGTTGGTTTTATTTCCGTTAAACGCCTCTCAGGTCCTAAAAACAACCCCAGAGAAACCAGCAGTCACGAGCGAGGGCGATCTAAGGAGCGGCGCCACCTGCTGTCTCCGGACGTTTCCAGATGTAACTCTGAAGAGCGAAGCAGAGACACTTCCTGTGAGAGGAGACACTCCAGATCCCCGAGCGAAGGACGGACTCACACCTTACAGAGACAGGTAGGAGGTTAGACACACACTAGGTTAGTGGGTTGTTGCCATCCCTGTGTTTCGCTTTGTCCCATTCTTAGTAGTTCAGATAGTGAGGGTTTTTTTTTTTTTTTTGGTGTGAAAGGATACATTTAGAGATAGGCTGAACTCGCCGGAAATTTGACTTTTTCTAAGAATTTAGACTTTTTCTAAGAATTTAGACTTTTTCTAAGAATTTTGACTTTTTCTTAGAATTTTGCCTTTTTTTCAGAAATGTCTCAGAATTTTGACCTTTCACAGAACTTTGACTTTTTCACAGAATTTTGACTCAATTGACTTTGAATCACATCCCTGGTTAAGCTAATTTGAACTGAACGTACCTGTGTGTGTGTTGTGTGTGTTGTTTGCAGGTGAACTCGTCTGTAAGCCCCGCCCACTCTGACTCCGGGACGCCTCGAAATCGTCGCCAGCTTCCTCAGACTCCCTCTCGCCCTCGACCCTACATCTCTTACTCTCCTCTGGTCTGCCAAACCTCCGCCGTCCCAGTTTTAGCAGAATCTTCCTCCGTCCCCGAGGTACATCTTTTTGGTATTTTTGTAACTCTGGCACAACAATCTTATCTTATCTTACATCCTCCTCCACTGTTAAACACCTGAACTTTTATTAAAAACACAGATAGATAAGTATTTTAAGAAAACTATAATAACATTAAAAAATATTATAGTAAAATATAGCAGTATTTACATACTATAATAAAAAAAGAAAACAGATATTGTGTGCATTAATGTGTTAATTAATTGTGTGCAAAATGACAATAAAAGCCTTGAATCTTGATTCCCCGCCTCAGGATGGATCTGGAGCCTCCAAATTGAAACCGGAGAAAGAAACCAGCCCCCTTCCTCCAGTTCAGGGGTCATCTGGAGGTCAGGGGTCATCTGGAGGTCAGGGGTCATCTGGAAGTCAAAGCCACCCCTCGCCTCAACGCTACATCTCAGAGCCCTTCTTGCCGTTTCACGATGACGTCATGGAGGGAGCTGACGGGGAGGAAACTCTCACTTTTGAGACGGCCGTGGCCACCAGTTTGGGACGAGCCAACGCCATAAGCTCCGCCCCCCAACTCAGACACTCCTGGCAGGTTCCCAACGGACACATCCGCACGAAGACTTTGGGCCAGGCGAGTTCTTCTGGAGCCAATGAGCTGCTGAGCGACACGGACGAGGACGACCGCTGCTAAAAAAACAGAAGAGGAGGCGACTCGGAAAAAATCTCCACGAGGCACAAGGACTTCTGAGATCTGTGTTGTGTCTCAAATTGCATACTTCTGTATTTACATCTGCTGTTCTGATTGCTTAAGTGCGTTCCAATGACGACCGCTGCTAAAAAAAACTCCACGAGGCACAAGAGGAACGAGGAAGAGGAAGCGACTCCATGAGGCACAAGGACCTCTGAGATCTGTCCTGTGTCTCAAACTGCGTACTTCCTGCTGTTTTGATTGCATTTGAAGTGCGTTTAAATGCAACGTTTTGGCGAAATGACTGCCTGGATGGTGCTTTCATAACGGTCCAAAAGTTAAGTGTTGAACGCTGGACACTTCTCACACTCAATGGCCGCCGTGTTGTAGCTGAAGTGAAGCGAACAAACATACAACACTATAAATATACAAGTTATTCATGTGGGGGTTTTGTTTAGTATTTAAGAAACACACCATTAAGCTTCTGATTGAGTACCGCTAACGATGCTAGCTGATAGCAACGGTTAGGACACAGTGGCCGTTTCTCAATGTCGAGTACACCCGCTGCAGAGCCACTATTTCAAGTATACTACGTCATCGAGTGGCGCCGAATGCTGGGCATTTAAACAGTCCTTCAGCGCCACTCGATGACGTAGTATACTTGAAATAGTGGCTCTGCAGCAGGTGTACTCGACATTGAGAAACGGACAGTGTGTGTGATTTGAAAGTCAAAATTCACACACTACATACGTGTTCAAAGTGCACGAGATGCAGTGAACTACACCGTAAAAATGTGACCATTGGTTACTTAAAACAAATCTGGCAACAAAGTGACACTCAATATAATTAATTAGTTCAACAATTTGATTAAACAAGTATTGAATACATTGTTTAAAGTTAGTCAATGTTTATCAAAGAAAGTTCAATTATGTTGGATTTAGTGATTTAATTCTGTATTTATTTAACAAGTGTCTGAGCGAACGAAAGTTATAGTTACTAAATATGTGATGAAATTGGATTAAATAATTATCTATAGGAGATATTCATTTCTATTTAGTGAATACCTGTATGAAATGAACTTGCATTAACTTATACTTTAAGATTTCGATTTACTGAATATCTAGGTACAAATGGTTTGAATTCCCCCGCAAAAAAAGTTATATTTACCCCATATAACTTGAAGTGTATTCAGTTCAATTAGATGTCACTGTTGCCAACATGTTTCTATAATCTACTCATTAGTATGTCTTCTTAGAGCCACCGTTTATGTAAATTAAATCCACACATCTCCATGAAGATAAGGGAAGTATCTGAGTTGAGACACAGCACTTCTCAGCAGCAGTAGCATCACAAACTGAGTGTGTGCGTGCGTGCGTGTGTGTGTGTGTGTTAATGCGTGTGTGTGCGTTGCCAAATGAATAGCACAGCAGAGACTGTACTATACGTAGATCAGGGCGTTGTGTTTTGATTGTTATTTGAACAAAATGTGGAGACACGACGGCGTCCGAACCTCTCTTTGGATCCCAGAGACTGACCTGAGTGAGTTTTGTGCAGGTGAACATACAGTAGAGGTAACATGTAAAGATGTGATACCATGAATGTATTTTAGTTTCAGACGTTCAGAGGGTTGCTGTTGGTCGTGGATGTGGCCATGAAACTCTCCGATTTATAAACCAGGTGTTTACAACCAGAGAATCTACATGGTCTGTGGGCATTAAAACATCAATGCTATACTATAATAATGTTCCACAAGGCGAGACACTACAGGAAAACACTAGAGGAAAGAGAACATCCAAAATACACACTAGTATCTATCTCCCTTACTTACCTGTAGTGTCTCCCCTTAAAGTGAGCTAAACTCTTTATTTGTCCTGTGAAACAAAGGCAGTGTACCTGCAGCTGGTGTTGGTTTGCTTTGATCCGGGACAGATTACAGGAGAAGAGATATTTTGTCTCAGGATACTGGACCGTCACATTTGTAATATAAGACCTTCTGAGACGCTCTTCATTGGACCTTAATTGTGAAAATCAGACGGACAGGAAGTGATTTCCACAGGTCGGTCAGCACGATGTCACATGACCATCATCGGCCCGCTGAAGGATCATGGAGGTTTATTTCTGTGCTGGATTCTGTCGATTTCAAAGCCATTTTCTTCCAGTAAAAACACAACCAGGGACGATGTGTTTCCTTCCTTCCTGTGACGGACACTTCTACAAAAAGAGGAATCATACTATGGTTTGCTTATATGTAAACAGCCATTGTTATTGTAGTTTCCACATGCATGATCATAGTGACGATGAGAGGTGTGAGAGAGGAATATCTTATTGTTATTATTTCAATGCATCCATGATTAGGGCTGCACGATTTGGAACAAAATAATGTATTTAGACTGGTTCTGCAATCACAATCCATAGAGGATATAGGAGGGATTGATCCTAATTCTCATTATAATTGAAAAATATATTAGATTATCATGGTGTGAGTTTTCTAAGACGATCTGTACTTAAATAATATGTTTTGTTACGTCTGTTAAATTCGATTTGTAGGCTGGGATATAGTCTATTTACCAGATCATAGAGTCCTGTTGTGAACCCAGAGATGTTGAGACCCCAAAGTTTTATGTTAGAAATGTTTAGTAGGGTCTCCAGCTCATAGAAACTGCCGGAAGCTAACCTGCAGATGTTGGGCAATTTGCACAAGTTGTGTTAATTAGCATTACATAGCATATGCAGACAGTAGTTACAATATGGCTTGGTCGATCTGGACAATTTTGAAGTGGTTTTGGAGGTTATTGAGGATGTTTAATCAATTTCTGACAATTTCAGGATCATAAATGGCAGTTTAGGCCATATTTGTACTCTCTGTTGGCTGATTTCGATCAATTTTGGGTCCATTTAAAAGTTTAAGAGGACTCAAAACCATGCCAATTGCAATTTTGTTATCCTGAAAGTGTCAGAAATGGATCCTCAATAACCTCCAAAACGGCCAAGCCATTTGTGTAGCTGTTGTCTGAATATGTCAATGAATGAAACTTTCAAATTTCCCAACATATGCAGGTTAGCATCCGGCAGTTTCTATGTGCTGGAGACCCTACTGTGCATTTCTAACATGAAACTTTTGGGTACTTAAGTTCACTAAGCTGGCAACCAGGGGCGGACTGGGACTAAAAATCAGCCCGGGACTCTCGACCGGCCCACTTCGGTACCGCAAGTAAATACCGCTAGTAACTTGTCAACGGGGGGCGGGGGGTGCTAGTGACTTATCCGACCGGCCCACATCATCGGGATTCGCCCTGAACGTCCCGATGGCAAGTCTGCCACTGCTGGCAACTACATGTATATCTCTGAGGCTCCAAATTTAAAATGTATTCCAACACAATTAGTCTTAATTGTACCATTGTGCATCCTGCGATTTCAATATTGCACATGTCCATATTGTGATTTTGATCTAATTTGATATAATAATAATAATAATCGTGCAGCCCTAATCATGATTACACTGGCATTTAAACCCAGTTCCCCCACAGAGTAATGACGTAACAACACTATTTTTTGTCCCAGCATCCACTGTCGATATCTTTGATCATTCCAACCTTCCCTTAAATAAGATGTGTATTTATATCACGTGCCGTTGTGTTTCTGTAATACATGTTTTGAAATGTGAACACAGGACTTATCTGGACTGGAAAACCTGGACTGGGTAAAAAAAAAGACGTATTTTAGCAGAGAAACCTCCTTTTAAATCCCCACGATGGGTTCCTACAGTAAACATGTTGTGTTAGGGCTTCAGGGCGTAGTTTATCCGTCTCTGTACAGAACAACCTGATCTGTGCCTGGGGAAACCACCCCTAAAACGCCTGGATTTCATAGATAGAGAAGCCTTCTGGTAAATATGTAGGATAACGTGTACAAAACGAATCCATGTTTCATTGATTTATTGTCTATGACCTTAACAAATGAAGTGTTTACATATCTGTGCAAAGGACCATTAAAGAGAGAGCACTTGTCTTTTCTTCACTGACTGATGTTACTACCTTTAAATACTTAAATAGGTGACTATATACTGTATAAATATTACATACAGGGGACGGAGGCATTATGTTTTCAGATTGTCTGTCACATACTATGAAGGCCTGTTGGCGAAGGACGTTGAAAGGCGTCCATGAAGAACAAACAAAGCCAATGAATGTCAACGTATTGAGGTCATATGTTTAAAAACCCAAGAGAATTTGACAAATATCTTCATTTTATCAAACTAACTCTGAAAATCGATGTTAAAGTGGACCTATCATGCTATATTTGAATAATATAGTGTAGGACCATCCCTATATAAGGCATATTTATACTCTTTATTTTTCAAAATACCAAACAGATCATGCATTTTAGCCATGCCTCATTTCGCTCAATTTGACAATTTCTAGCTCTGTTTTAGCAAGGGCTGATTCAGTGAGAACAGCACCACCTACAGGCCTGGCATATGTACTACAGCGTCTCCAGCGCTTTCGAACAGCAATGGCCGTGGCTGTCTCCTCCTGATTGGTGGAGTTGGCCCAATAGCCGTAGCGCCACCGTCCTGACGTCAGGACAGTGTTCAAATCTGGATCAGTTTTTATCAGATCCGTTGCAGCCCCTTTTTTAGAGATTTGGGTATGGAGGAAAATAGAGAGGGTTGTGTTTTCTGACACTTGGTGAGTTCCCTGGAACACCGGGGACACATATTCATGTATACAAGACGTACAAAAGTGCATTTTGCATGATAGGTCCCCTTTAAACTACAAAAGATGATTTTCCAGAGAGCTGACAGGGTGTCTGCAGACGGCTTGTTTATTTAGTTTGTCTTTCCATGATGTGTAGGTTGAAAGGATTTAGCTGTTAAACCTGTGCACACACACACACACACACACACTGATGGTGTCTGAATCTGTCAGCTTTGTGATACAGTTTACGTTCCCCTGTGAGGAAACTATTTACTCTGAGACTAAAATCCATACTGAGCCGTCCTCTCGTCTCACCGCTGTATGTTTCCAGTAAATAAGCAGGTAGACGTGCCTCTGAGCATGCGTATGAGTGTGTGTGTGTGTGTGCGTATGAGTGTGTGTGTGCGTGTGTCTGTGTGCGTGTGTGCGTGTGCGTGTATGTGTGTGTGTGTGTGTGTGTGTGTGTGTGCGTGTGCTAACGTTTACATGAGAGTTTTCCAGGTGAGCTGAGTGTGCGTCTGGGTCAGAGGAGGAGGAGATGCTATTGGTGGTCTGAGGACAGGAAGGGGAGGAGCTTGGGTGCCTGGGAGCAGCAATATGTATCTTATTTTCTGCAGTTTACCTTACATGTTTGCCAGGAAGCATTTTTACACAGCGTGTTTCGTGAGGGAAACAAACAGACTTGCACATGGTCAGACAGACAGCTTGGTTGCGGTCGAAATAGAATTATAATTGTATTTTATTTAAAACTTGATAGGCCTTTCGTAAAGGAGGGTCCAGTGTTTCCTAAA